TATAATAGGTGGACTATTAAATGAAAAAAAAAGTATATAATAATATATCGTGTTATAAACTTACTATAACACTTTCGTTTAATTTTTAATGTCTACTTGGTTATCTACTTAATGATCCCAGACATGTACATAATTAATTGTTAAACTATGGGGATAGGTAGTTAATTGTTTCCATTTAAGATTGGAGGGGAATGGGAGTATTATGTTGTCATTGTAGCTGCAACTTGTGTTGGGTGGTCACCAAACACTTATTTAACATTTTTTTGACCATCAAACACTATTTTAACACTTGCAACTTGTTTCGTTTGAGCGGTAAGAAGATGTGGGAAGAGAAGGGTAGGAAAGAAAATTTTATTATAATTAATTAAATTATTTTATTAACCTAATGACTTAATTTGATTAGTTAAAACTTAAAATATATAAAACTACCTCCCTTTTGATTCTTTCAACCAAATAATCTATAGTAGTTAGTAACTATTGATCAACAAAATATCTTAGCTTAGTTGTGCAACTCATAAAAGTTTTATAAATTTGTATGAAAAATAATAGAGAGATAATTTTTTATAATTTTTTATACAATTTTATATATATTATTTAATGATTAATTATTTTTATTATGTTATAATTTGTAATAATAAAATATTTATTTAATAATATGTAAAAATTGTATAAAAGATTATTAAAAAAAAATTACCTTCATATCATTTGCCCAATTTGTATTATTTCTTTCTTCTTTTTCCCTTTTCTTTTTACCTCGATTTTTCTCATTCCGAATATTTTTTAAAGTGAGTATCTCATCAATAATTCTGTTGATTTAGAATAGCATCTTAGAAGCACCATATTCCATGAAAAGGCTAGCTGTGAATGAATAACCATACATTGAACCTTGCTATATACTTTTTTGTAAAACAATTTATTTAAGTTGCTTAAGGAGATAATCAGTTTATATTCTTTTACTAACTCCACTTTATGTCTACTACTAAAACTTTGAATCTCTTACATCCACTTGAAAAATATCAATTATCACTAAGTCACTTATCACATTGAGTTAACCATTAATATTTAATTTTGTTATTTAATCCAATTTTATGAATCAACTTAATGTTTAGTCTATGAAATATTAACCCATAATCATTTTCAATAAAGTTTTTTCCTCCCAAAAAATAAGTTTCTTTTTTGTTTTTTAACTTTTAATCTATTAATAAGTAAATATTATTTTATAAATCAAATATAACATTTAAATCTTGAGATTAATACTTAAAAAATTAATTTTTTTTTTTACCAACGATTTAAATAACTCGGTGATCATCTCCTTCTACTGAAAGTAAAAGGTCTTGAATCCGAATCGCATGATATGTGGGTGAAGTGAGATAAGAAATAAGAGATGATTATTTTTCATTATGTAATTAAGATAAAAAAAATTAATTTTTTTAAATGTAACAGATAAATATAATAGATATGCGCCTTAGATCATTTAAAAAATTAATTTTTAAATATATAAAAATTAATTCAAAAACAGTTCGACTAACTTAAAAAAAAAAAAAAAAAAAGGTGTTTAGTTTAGTTTGCATTTCCTCTATTGTGGTTGTTATCCTTCTTTCTTTTTTTTCTCTTTTTTCAGGTTCCCTGATAAAAATTAATCTGTTACCTATATGTAGTACATTGCAAGTCTTAGTGAATTTTTGTCTGGTGGCATTTATAAAGGGCTTGTCATTGTAGTCTTACCATAATTTTTTTTTTTTTAGAAAGGTAACGGTTAAAAATATTAATGTGTTAGAGATGTTAATATGTAAAAAGATTATTAAATCCAAAACATAAGATGCTAATTACAACCTATCCAAAAGACAACAAACCGCCGTTACGCTAAGAACGTGAAATAGGTAGTCTTACCATAATTGTTCAATCAAGAAAGGGGCGACACGACGACTTTTTGCTATTTGGAGTACCTTTAAATTATGATGTAACTAACTACAGGACTGGGCTCGTTTCAGTCATTTCTTTGGTTGTTTTAATTGGTTCTCCAATTAACGGTTCATTTAAAAAAAAAAAAAAAAACTTCTATAAATTGATCTAAAACCTTGAAAGAAATTATATCAAAATTAGTTTTTCATTAAATTTTTGTGTTTTTTTTTTAACAAATTTCTACGTCAACGCTTTTTAACACTATATATATAAATGCTATGTGACTTAAAAAATTTATATTCAAATATTAGAACGTAGTGATAAAAAGATTAAAACAAACATATTATCAATTTTTCAAAATAAAAATAAAGTTTAGGAAACATAGGAGGTTGATTACGGCTTCATATGTAATTTTACTTGGATCACAGTGTTTCCGTAATACCAAATAGTCACGGCCTGAAGGGCATGAAATTTCATTAAAAAAAAATAATGAAACTTCAACAAATAGATCATTTGAGTTTGGAAGAAAATAATCATTTTACACCAAAATTATAATAAAAAAATGATTATTAAGTTAATATAAAAACTGATATGTAGTTTGTTTTATATAAACAACATATTTTGTATTTATTAACGAAGAGCAAAATTTTTTATCAAAATAAAATAGTTTTTTATTAATAATTATAAATAAATAAAAATTTATTTACAAACAAATTTTATATATTATATTTACATTAAATTTTAATTATTTATTTTTTTTACTTTTAATAATTAAAATTTATCATAATTTTTTAAATAAAAACAATTATTTTTAATAAATATAATAAAAATAATTAAATCTTAATTATTTAAATTTAAAAAAAATAAAAAATTAAAATTTTATATAAATATTATTTATAAAATTCATGCATAACTGAATGTTAATTCAGTATAAATTACATCATTAATTCATTCATGTAAGATCGTAAAAGAGTTTTCTCTTAAATTAATCATTTAAGTTATTGTTCTCAAGACAAGATTAAGAGACAAAAAGGTGATTTGACTAGGTACAGGCCCACCGCCCACCCATGTACCTAATTGTGTCTTTTTCATGTTCATTCCGTTTCTCGGGTCGGGTCAAGTTTCCATGCTGCGTAGAACATTTCAAGATTAAGAATTGGAATTCCAAAGAAGTTGAAGTTCTCCAAGAATTTATTTTTACGTGGAATATATCCCTAAAATTGTTTGGAAATTAATTAGTCTTAAAAAATATAAAATTTGATTAAAAATATTTTAATCATAAATACAAAAAAAAAATTAAATTATTATTAATGCAAAACATACTTGTGCTAGTAGGATAAGTAGTTTTTCTCTATTCTAACTTTTAAAGCTAAGTTCGTAATAAATGGTTAATTATTTACTATAAAGTCTATAATCATTGCTTAAGTACAACCAAATTTCCATTTAGTTAAGGTTAGTCATCCCATTTGCACTTATTATATGATAATGATTCTTTGATAACATTTATTTACATGCTTGTTAT